TTTCGTTTTTATCGTAACTATGGTAGACTATTGTGATTTGCATTCTCCATGTGAGATGACGATCAAGATGGAATCCAGAGTAGTAAGTTCTATATATAAGCCCAATGCTATACGAATTATATGTGGAACTATCTTAAACAAATTTGCTTTAAATAGCGTGTAAAGAATCCTTGAAAACGAGTTTAAACTATCTTAAAGAACTTTCTTCCTCGCTTACTATATCTACATTTCTTTCTACTCTTTTGAAAACTATTTTGTTGATATTCTGCATTTAAAGCTTTATATAAATCTCAAAGCATTATGAACTATCTTATACTAATTCGACTGGATGTAGGTGTAAAAGAAGTAGCTTAAGCCATATTAAGCAACTCTTTTTATCTCCTCTCTTCTCTCTATTTCTTGCTACTCTTTTAAAAACTATAAAATGGTCTTATTTAATAGCTATATATAAAGTTCAATGTAATATGAACTATAATTGGCGCTTTCTAAACCTAATTCGAATGGGAAAAAGTGTAAAATCCTTTAAAACAAGTGTAAACCATCTTAATCAAATCTCTTCCCTCCTCGCTCTCTCTCCATTTACTTTTAGTCTTTTAAAAACAATCAAATGTTCTGCTTTTACAGCTATTTATGCTCAATGCAATATGAACTTTATATGAAACTTTCTTAATCTAATTAGATTCGAATTTAAACTAGCTTAAACCATCTTAAGCAACTCTATTTCTCGTTCCTTCTCTCTCCATAAGATTCTACTATTCTAAATAGCATGAAACCTTTTGCTTTTATATATGAAATTCGATGTAATATGAAGTATATATGGAACTATATTAAACTAATTCGATTAAACTAAGGTAGACTAAAATGCTTCAAGCCTTGTTTAAGACTAGTTTAATGTTAAACAAGTAAGAAGTTCTAGTCGGGAGCTCCCGACTAGGGGATACCCTGAACCCTCTTCTTCCATCATCAAATGCATATATATTCTATTTTAGAAGCTATATGTCAAGTTTGGTGACTCTAGCTCTTATTATTTACCAGAATTGCCCAAAAAACAGGATATCGATATCGATCTTATCGATTACTTGGAAACGGAGTAAGTTATCGATTATCGGAAACAAATTCAATCTGCGCGGGAACTAGGAGCATATACATCTAAAATTTCGAGTCTCTAGCTCTTATAGGTTCTCAGATCCTTGCGTTCATACATACGGACGGACGGACGGACGAACAGACAGACGGACATGGCTAGATCGTTACATAAATTTGGACTTCGCACAAATACAATATACCCTTATACCCATTTTTAATGGGTTCAGGGTATAAAAACTCTCTTCCTCGCTGCTTCTCTCTCCATTTCTTCTCTAAACACTATGAAACTTTCTGTTTTTATAGCGCTAATCTCTAAAACGACACAGAGCTGCTTGCTATGCAACTGCTCAATATCTCAATATCTAACAAGTGCGCGCACAAAAGTATGTTTGCTATGGCTAAGAAATCTGCTTGATACCATATTATTTGTATTACTTTTAATTGTATGCCATAACAAAGAGGAAGAAGGAGAAGAAGAAGACATCATGGAATGCAATCTGCAACAAGTGTGGCAACTATGGCAACATCAACATATTTTCCATCGATGGGTGCATTCGAGCGTTGCACACACGCGCACACACACGCGCACACACACGCACACACACACACGCACACACACACGCACACGCAACGCGTACACACAACTAAATCCATATTTTATGATGCAAACATTGGCAAAGAGTTCTGCTCCAATTGCCAAAGGGTGGACCTAAGCTTTGAAATACGCGACTTAAAAATACCCTGTAAAAAGTTCTTTAATTGTGTAGGGGTCACTGTTCTTACTTAAAAAACGAACAATTTGGCACTCGACTAAACTAAGGGCTATAAAATAAGTCTAATTAGCAACTAGTTTCAATAGTAAGTAGTGTTAATGAACTTCTGCTGAACTACTTCCGTAAATAGAACTAGTTTAGAAATTGAACTAGCAAATACCTTATACCTTAGCATATTTTACCCGAAAATTCCCCTTAAATAATACCCTTTAAGTTATCTTACTTTACCCAAAATTCCCCCAAAATAATACCAAATATACTACAATACTACCTATACTACAATTTATTTTCAAAATTTTCCCCTCAAATATTGCCAAGTACCCTGTACCCTAAAATAATAACAAATACCCTGTACTTTACCTCGTTTAACCTAAAAATTCCCCTTAAATATAAGCAAATACCCTGACTTAATACCTCGATTTAATGAAATCGTCACGGCCTTCAATTATACAGAATTAAAGGCGGAAGAGAGTTCTATTCTATAAGTAATGCTAAATTCTCCCTTTGGGGCAGAAAATATCACTCACTATTCTTCCAGGATTCAATTCAGTTCGTCGATTTCTTATATCAAATGCAAATAAGTTGTATAAATAATAATCAAAATATTTTAATTTATATATTACATATTATTTATATTAAATATATATATATAATATATATATTATGACGATCATTTTATAGGGCGATTAACTCAAAATTATTTCATTACCTTAAATAATGTTTAATTGATCACAAATTATGAAAAGAACGATATATAAAAATATGATAAAATTAAAGATCTTCAAAAAGATGTAAAATAAAATAATATGTATTTACGAATAGTTCCAAAATCTACATGCTGAATCTAGAGGTAAAATCCTGACAAGAATTGCATTGAGTCTGAAAATCTCTTCAAAAATTAGAAGAAAAATCCATTTGCGAATATTCTCAAAACTGACTTTTTAGAGGTAAGCCCGTGACAAAAGTTGCATAAAATCTAAAATTCTCGGAAGTTGTGGCAAAGTTATAAAAGTTTAAAGAAAACATCATAGGCTGTTTCCGAAAAGCCTGTTGCTCAGTTATTTAAATAGACTTGATACACCCATGACGATAGGTTTTGCCTGCAGGGTATAGGCCAGAAGCTAGTCGTAGCCCACGCTTGTTACCAATGCTTGGCCACGCCCACGCATGCAGAGAAGCATCCACCCCCACACCCACACATAACACACGCACACATAGACTAAATAGTTTATGTTGTTTACCAGGCGACTTGCAGCAGTTGCTGTTGTTGTTGTTGTTGTTGTTGTCGCTGTTGCTGTTGCTGTTGTCCTGCACTTTGGCATTAAGCAAAGCGCCTGAGCCATGGACAGGCACGAGCGAAAGGATGCCAATGCCAAGCGGCGAGGATTGAAGTGGAAAACACGTAACCGTCGCCATCGAGCGGCATTCATGTGTATATGCGACTTAAGAGCGCAGGGAAAGAGGGTGAGGTAGGCAGACCCTCGGACATGTCCTGCTATTTGACTGCCCCGGTTACCATTGTTATCCAGCAGTCTCCCACGCGCTTACTACCCGCATCTTAAATCTAATATATAAGGAGAAGAAGAAAAGTATGCTCAATTTTTCTGTTATTTTTAGTGTTGCACATTTGATAAGAGCAGCTGGGGAAGCGTTAATGCAGTTCTTTGACACAGTCAAAGATTGAAAAAACTCACAATTCTTCTAGCAAAATCACCAAAATTAACATCAAATAAAAGTCTATGTATAATAATTAACTTTTCCCGTTTAATATTTTGCGCAACACACCTTCTTTTAATTTTCTTTAACTTATTATATTTACATTTTTGTTGAAATTGCCGTCATTCAAAATAACGATAAATGTAATTAACACGCCAACATTGCCTGTTAAAGTTAACAGTCCCACTGTTGTTTATGCTGTTCAGCTGTTGTTTAACAGCGTACTGTTAAATTATCTAAGGCAACTGTTAAATGCGATTGCATGAAAATGCAACGAGTTGAGAGCTGCACAAGCACATTTTTTGTTGTTGTTGCGCGTGGTGAACGAGAGAAGTGTAAGAGAAATGTGCATGAAACGTGAAGAGCAACGCAAAATTCATGCGCTCTTAGCTGCTGAACTGACAATCAGTCCATTTATCGATAAAATGCTTAAGGAAATTTACATAAGCAGAAATAATAAAAATATATTTGTTATTTTATGCGAATCTAATAACTTAATTTGAATATAAATTTTATTAATTTAATTTATTTTCAATATTTGCTTAAATTATTTACCTTTCGATTAATAAGCAATGTTAATAAAATAAGTTAGAATAACATAACAAATACCATGACAAGTCAAATGTTAAAATACATCTGATATATTTCCACATGCAACATGTTCGACAGCCTTTGCCCACTGTGCGCGATTTTGCCAGTCACAAACAACAAAACCAACGCATTGAGCACAGCGCGCACACACACAAGCATGAAATACATATATTCATATGTTTATGTACATTGAAACGACGACGCTCTGGCGCGCTCATTACAGCGCTGAGTGGGAGAGTGGGAGCGAGAGCGAGCACGTTTCATTTGCGCGCTCTGGTTACGCTCTCAGCAACAGTAGGCAACAGCACACTTGCGTTGCGAGCGAGTTTGCGAGTTTGTGTGCTTGATCCGTTCCTTTGACTGTGCGAGGTGCGCACGCTTGTAAGAGAGCGTTCGTTTACACGAACACATGCCGGACTGCTCGCACACTATGTGGCAAATGTGGTTTCTTACTGCAGAGCACGCCGCTCATTTTCTCAGTACGAATTGAGACACTGTGGCGCACGGTTGAAAACCTTTTAGTAGCAGCAGAAAAGCGCACCCGAAACCAAATCCAACTAAATAACAGCAACGAGAGACGGCAATTTGTGTATTGTTATAATTGTATTGTGCAATAACGCAGTAGAAAATACTAGCGTGCGTGTGTTCGTGCATTTTGCATATAGCCATCAATTTAAATTAAAAACTTTTTTGGGCTCAATTAAATACTTCCGCGCGTCGTCGTTGTCGTCGCCGCGCCAGTTTTTCCATTGCGTGCGCTGTATTCGCTCTCTCGCCCCGCCGCATTGACGTCTACGCCACATATATACACACACACACACTCGCACACAAACAGACCAGACACACACATACATATACACATAACAAACTCTCAAACTCGATTGTTGCTGCTCTCGTTCTCGCAACACTCTCGCTGCTTTTTAGTGCCAACTATCTCTGTCATTTGTGTCACTGCCTTTGCTCAGTTTCTGTCTCTGTCTCTGTCTGGCCGCCACATTCGTTTTGTTTGTGTTGTATTAAAAAAGGGCCGCTGAGAAGTAAGCAGCAAGCGGACAGACGCACGCGATAGCAGTAACAAAACAACAGAAAATAATCGTTTGCATGCGAATTTAGACAACAGAAAGTCAAATAATAAACTATTTTCGTGCTAATTCTAATCGAAGTGCAGCAGCAATACAATTTGGAGTAAGAAAAATAAAGAAAACAAGCCAAAAACAAGGTAAGCAGAAAAGCCGACGCCTAATGGGTGAAAGTGTTATTTTACCGTTTCAGTGTGCTGTGCCTGCACTTGCATTGCATTGCATTGTATACATATTCATTTGTGTTCATTATCGTGTGTATATACATGTGTAATTGCGTGTGTGTGTGACGTGTGCTTTGTGCGTTTGCAAAAACCATTGCAAATTTGTAGCTTTCTTAGCGCGTCGTTTGCTTTGCTGTTTTGCTTCGCACCAGCAGCAGCAGCAGCAGCAACAACAAAGCCTAACCGGTAGGTGCTGCTTTGCCACCCACGAAATAGCCAAACAAAAAGGGCAGCATAAAAAAAACGTACAAGGTACTTTTACTCTTGCGGCTGCCTGCCTGTCCGCCACGTACTCTCCAGGCTTACGCTCTGGCCAGCGTTTATTCCCTCTCGCTCTAGCACTTACTGTTATCCTCTCTCAGTGCAACCCCTATCAAAACGTGTGCAGCTGCTGCTGACGCTGCCGCGGCTTTTGCTGCCTAACGGCTACCTGTGCGACGTGCGTGTATGTTGGGCTCTCTTTTGCTGCCAACGTCGCTGCCGGCGTTGACGCTTCGTGTGTGTGCCCGCCACTCGCTCGTGTGCTGGCTGCTGTCGCTGCCGCTGTCGCTGCTGCTGCACACGACAAAAGAGCCGACGTTGACGTTTCAACGCTCTCACAGGTTTTCATTTCTTATTTGACCGTCATTCGCCAGCGCGGCGCCGAAGTGTACAACAGCAGAAGTCTTCAATATAACGGATGAAAATTACTTACACACAGCTCCCAATAACAAAAATAAAGAATTATAAAAAAATAAATAAAAATCTTATAAAAAAAAAAAGCGGTTACATTTCGCATACGCATCTGTATGTGTGTGTGTGTGCGTGCGAGAGCAAATACAATTGTCAACTGTCAAAGCCAAATGTAAGTAGGCGCCGTCTAGCGAACTGTCAATTGCAAATGCTCAGAGCCCATTGACAGTTTAAAATTCACAGAGTGCAGGTTTTTCTTTCGCAACGACTCAACAAAAAAAAAAAAAAAAACTTAAAAAAAACACTATGTGCATATAGTTAAAAATTTTACAATTATGTGCTGAGCAACTTAAAAAAAAAATATTTATATATATAAATAATAAATAAACAAATTCTAGCCGTATTATTGAGTGTGAACCAACAAATTGAGAAATTCAACAGTTTCAACTAAATTTGCAAGCAGACAATTTGACAATTTGTGTGCCCTTTTGTTGTCGTTGTTATTTGGCCGCCATTTTCAAAAGCGGTATGCAAAAAATTAAAAAAAAATTAACCAAAAAGAGTGTGAAAAGCGCACGGGGTGCGTGTGTGTGCGTGTGTGCTTGTGCCTAAAAAGTTCATTCGCTTTTCCAGCGCGCGTCGCGCGGCTTTTTGTTTCATTAATGAAAAATCAACCCCCGGCATTTTGGGCCAACGCGCGCCCCCACAAACAAAGTAGAAATCAACAGCAGCGGCAGCGGCAAGCGCTCGTTCTTCATTCTACAGCTTTTCCATTTTCCCGCTTTTCCCGCTTTTCCCCTTAAGGGTTGCAGCAAACGGGCAACGCGGCCAAAGAAACAACTTTTTCAAGTTTACTTGTACGCGATTTTCCGCTGTTAAAGGTTGTCCGCTGGCCGTGTTTCATTTTCATTTCGTTTCCATTTCGCTTTTCCGCCGCACATTCGCCGTTGCTTTTGGCTTTTGCTTATGCTTCTAGCCTGTCACTTGTCAGTCCGTCCGTCCGTCAGTCCGTCCGTCTGTTCGCCTTGTTGCCGTTATCCTTCGAATTCATTTTGACATTTTCGGCCATATTTCTTTTTCTCTTCTTCTTTTCTATAAACGTTGCTGTTTTGCCGGCGCTTTTTGGTTGCTGCTGCTTCTTCTTCTTCAGCTTCACGAGGGTTGTTTCTGCAATTTAAGCGTGTGTGTGTGTGTGTGTGTGTGTGTGCGTGCTTTGTATTTTTGTCTGGTTTATGCCTCTGATTTATGCGCTCGGCTCTCCAATTAGCAAGAATTTCCCATTGTTGCAGCATATTATAATTTGCCAAAAAAAAGAATACAAAAAAAAAAAAAAAAAAACAGCTAAGAACAAATATATAAATATAAATAAATCATACTATATTTAAATTATTATAAAAAGCTTCCATTTGCATTTATAAAATTGTTAAAAAAAAAAAAAACAGATATATATTGCCTGTTCGGTTCATTAAATTCACTTGCAGTGAAAACTCTCTTGAATTGTTAAATGTTAAATAAAAAAATATGCACAATTTTCCAAATTTTTACATATACTATATGCATATTATATTTATGTATATTGGCATGTAAACTTTAGCCTAAAATATATATATGAAAACTTATTCTTTATATCAAAAAGATCTCAAATGAAAAGTTTCACATTTTCTTGCCTACATTTTGTTTCTAACTTCAATTTTGGCTTATTCAATAAAAATATCAACCAATTTATTTTTTGTCTAATTGCTTCCACTTATATTCTGCTTATATTCCATATGCTTATTTATGTTACATAACCAGCTGCATTTTCCATATCTTTCTGGCATATTTTTATTGTTTTAGTGATAAGCAAAAATTTGCGTATTGCCAAGCCAAACGATATGATTGATATGATTGTTGACAATTAAGTGTCTAATTGAGCACACTTTTGTGATAAAAGGAGAATGAGATAATGTAGCCTATATATGACAAATTAGTTCAATTATGTATTGCCATGTCTTAACTTTTCAGTCTCATAAGCAACTTATCCCCTCGAATTTGCCTGCATCCAAAAGTTATGTGAAACTTTTTATAAAATTTTATGTTAGAGCTTCTTTTAAATATGAAAATTTGGATAAGTTTTTAAGAGTTTTCTTATTGTATTAAAGTATTCAAATTTTAAGTTATTCTGTGTTTGAATAAATTCCAGAAATATACATTTTTATTTTATTGAAATAAATAATAATAAATATATATAATAATTAATTCTAATTTTAATTGCGTGCACTGTACAAAATGCAGCTTGGCTTTGATTTGGCATTAAATAAATATTTACTGCATACTTAAATTAATTTCCGTTTGCATTAGAAAGTTTTTCCCGTCGCGATCACCGCAATTTGCATAGAGAATTTTCACTCAATTATTGTATGTTGATTATTTTCTATTATTTGTAATTCACCTGTTTTACTAACCTCTTTTCTCTTTCCTCCCATTTACAGCTGATTGTACAAACACATAACAACAACAAAGAAAGCAAGCGATAAATAAAAAAGAAAATTCGTTCAACACGCAAATTGAAAGTGCAATAAGAAGAAAGAAGAAAAAGAAAAACGTCAAATGCAGTTGAAAGTTCAAGTTGAAGCAAGTGTTTAAAAGGAAAAATAAATCAAACATTCAGATAAATAAATCTCTGAGAAATATTCACAACTCTTCTTCTTCGCCTAAGAAGAGCTTGAAAATCGTGCGCGTTTAAATCAACATTTTAGCAATCATTTTTGTCAACCCTCTCATCAAAATTTTTGTGGAGTCTTTCGTGTCCGGTGCATTCTGTGTTCCGTTCTTCGTTATCAAGTGAGTGCCACACAACAAAAACAAAAGGAAAAACCACACTCTCGACCACACACAGTCACACCCAACACACACACAGACACCCACACAACCAAAAACACAACAACAACTGCGCCTAGAGCAAGGATCATTCCGTGTCCAATAACTAAAGTATCCAGTTTATCCAACAAAAAAGGCTACGGCCCAAAGTAAACGTCAAGATTCTATCGAAAAAAACTCTATTCAGCACGACGGAGGCTTCGCTCAACTTCAACACGGCGACCACAATGCCCTATAACGGTGCTAGCAACGGTAGTGGTGGTGTCGGTGGTGCAGTCGCAGGCAGCAGTGTTACTGGTGGCGGGGCCACCATCGTCGTCAGCGAGGGACCCCAGAATAAAAAGATACGTACCGGTGTTCAGCCCGGAGATAACGACGTCACCATGCATGCTCGGGTGAGTACGATAATAATAAGCTGCCATTTATCGATTAATATCGATTTTTGAAAGGAATAGCCTTTAAATACACCAAACTCACAGTTTTGTACTGACATCAGTTGTCATACATCGGGCAGACATCATAACAACAAACTGGCTTGCTATCGAGAAGTTTGCTCGAAAAACAAGTTATCGATAAATCGCGTTTAAGTTTATGTTATCGATAAAGCTAGTTGAAATCATGTTTTGGTCAAAAGAGTCTGACTTGTCCGATATTTTTATTAAACTACAATCTTCGATCAACATTATGCGATTAATTCAATTAGTTACGAATAATTAAATCGACTTCTTGTTAGACTTTCTTCAGTCTCGACGTTTTAATAAATCGATTTGTAAATGATAAATTTAGTAAATATAATTATTTTTGGTTAAATTACCGTTTTTGCTCGCCATAATACTGCTATAAATTGAATTACTATCGAAATATTCAATATATAGGTTTTTTTTGTCAAATAAAAATTAGAGTAATTTTTATGCTTTGATAAATTAACTTGGTATTTTCACGAAATTTAAATCGTTCTATTTCGATCAATTTATTTTATTGTTAACGATAAGCTGAATCATTTTTGCTATATTTAAATCGAACTGCGGTCTTCGCTCAACATATTGCTATTGTACATTGATTTGATATCGATAAATTAAATCGAAATAATTATTTTTGTTATAAATATTTCTACTTTCTATCTACTTTCTCGATCAACATTCTAAGCTGATTTGTTATCGATATATTAAGTCGATAAGATAATTTATTAATATTTTAAATCGAAATACTTGATTCGCTTTTTTGATTTGCTTCGGTAAATTGATTTGATATATAAATATAAATATAATTTATTTCGTTAAAAATAAATAAGAATTATTTTTTCACTACAATTAAATCGATCTGCGATCAACATTAGGCTTCGATAAATTGCTTTATTATCGATAAATTAAGCGCATGCATATGTGAATAATTCGTATATTTCCATATTATATTAAAACCTTATTGAGTTGTCTTCCAATGTTATCAACACTATATACGTATTTCCCATAGACTCAATCAACCCCAATATATCTAATAATAATTACCTGCGAAAATGCTCAACATGCTCGTGCATTGGCTCCACTTTACCCACCCCTATCGGCGGGCGATTGCAAGGCGCAGACACACATTCCTATCGCATCTATTGGTTTAGTTGGTCTATTCAATCACTTTTTTGGGGGCGAACTCTGAAGGTTCACCCTCACCCCAAAAGTTCAGCCCAGTACCCGCACCCTTCTGCCGCTGGCCAACAGGGGATGGCCAGAAACACAGAGCCAGAATATTCGTGGTAAAGTTTTCGACCGTGGTTGTTGTTGTTGTTGTTGTTTTTTGGGGGTTGAAGTGCAGTTTGCAAGAGGCTCTTAAGGTTATCAGGCAGCGAGTAGTACTTTCCGTACTTGCGACTGTCATATGAATTACATATCATGCAGTCCGCGCAAAGGGTGGACGCCATTTGATTTACATTTCTAACGGTTGCCAAGGACGATGCAACTGTTATGCGTTGTGATAAGTATGTATTTTCTTTATTCATGTTGAAAAAATGGATAGGGGAAATAGTGTAAGAGTTATGATTTTTTACTCTGTCAGAAATAACAATGTAAAGAAAGACGGTGAGACATAAGCTCAGATACAAAATAATATATATATATATAAAGTTAAAAATTAAAAATATATGGTATTTAATAATATGAACTAAGGTTCGAGTGAATTGTGGACAATTACGTAAGCGGTTACGCAACAATTCATACAAAATCGTGTAAAAAAAAAGAATAAAGAATATATTTCAAAGATTCAATTATTACTTTTGAGACGGTTTACGTCCACTTTCGGGCATAACAAAAAGATAAATAGAATATAATATTAAGTTATAATATATGACATGATATAAGGTTCGACTAAATTATTACGCAAATATGCGTAACGTAGCGTGTTACGTAACAATTCATATGAAAGCATGTACAAATATGATTACAGAAAATGTTTCAACGTTTCAGAAATTAATTTCGAGACGGTTAACCTCCATTATGAGTCGAAGTATAAGCTCGGAAACAAAACAATAATTATAAAGTTAAAATATATAATTTCTAATATGCTCTGCGGGTCCGCTAAATTATCAGGAAAAGGTGCATAACGTCATGTGTAGGTAAAAATATATATATGAGCTAATTTAAAAAATGTTTTCAAGAATATATTTCCTATAAAATTATCTTAAGAGTATATTTTCAAATAATATATTTAAATATTTATATAAATATATATTTGTATTACGACACACAAACAAATTTCGAAGACTTAAGTCAGAGAAGTTTTGATAAATGTATCGAAACATCGCTGTCATCATTTTCTTAAAAGTAATCCCAAGTTTTTGAAACTTGAAAAGAAGAACGGGTCATTAAGAAAAGCGCAGACATGTTTGCTATTTTCTAAGCTTATCTAAACAAAATCCATTAAAAATTGTTGCATTTTACAACACTTAAAATATCAATTTGAAGAGCTAGTTTGAGAAAAGTGTTGCAATATATTTGCTATTAAACTTTTTTATTTTAAAATATTGAAAATAAGTTTTTTGTCATTATCTCTGAATCTCAAGACTTGTATCATTTGACCCGCGAGAGCAGCTACAGAGCTCTATAGCATTTAGCCTAGCATGCACTTGCTGCGCATTTCCTTTTCGCAGCTTCTTTTAAAAAAAAAAGTAGATTTTTTGCTGATCCGCCATTTTGTAGGACCTCTTAGGGTCTGTTTAGGCCCTGTAAAACGCTTAACCCGCTGCAAGTGCAGTTAAGCGTGTTGAACTTTGCATGCGTATATATTTTTTTAGCGCATCCGTCGCAGGCCAAGTGCACTTAATCACATAGAAGTGGTGGCCAAAACGGCGGAGCAGGATGCAGGCAGAGAGAGAGAGAGGGAGAGTGGGGAGAGAGAAAGAGACAGAGAGAGAGAGAGAGAGAGAGAGAGAGAGATAGCCTCTTTAGGGGCAACGGCAGGTTGGCAGGTGTCCCATGTTAGCACGTTTTGGGCGACAGACGCGCCGCTTGTCCAAGGCACGTACGCAGCTCGCAGCGCTCGCAGCAAAAGGAAAAGCTTAAACGATGCCAAGTGGCAAGCGGCGTTGCACTGGCCTGGGCCTGAACCTCACAACTGAAGCTTGGCTAAAGCAAAGGGCCAAAGAGCAACATGGCCAAAACTCTTGAAATGACGAGAAGATGCTGCTTCATGTGCTAATTGTGCTGTCAAGTCAAGTGTCTGTGTGTGTGTGTGTGTGTGTGTGTGTGTGTGTGTGTGTGTGTGTGTGTGTGTGTGTGTGTGTGTGTGTGTGTGTGTGTGTGTGTGTGTGTGTGTGTGTGTGTGTGTGTGTGTGTGTGTGTGTGTGTGTGTGTGTGTGTGTGTGTGTGTGTGTGTGTGTGTGTGTGTGTGTGTGTGTGTGTGTGTGTGTGTGTGTGTGTGTGTGTGTGTGTGTGTGTGTGTGTGTGTGTGTGTGTGTGTGTGTGTGTGTGTGTGTGTGTGTGTGTGTGTGTGTGTGTGTGTGTGTGTGTGTGTGTGTGTGTGTGTGTGTGTGTGTGTGTGTGTGTGTGTGTGTGTGTGTGTGTGTGTGTGTGTGTGTGTGTGTGTGTGTGTGTGTGTGTGTGTGTGTGTGTGTGTGTGTGTGTGTGTGTGTGTGTGTGTGTGTGTGTGTGTGTGTGTGTGTGTGTGTGTGTGTGTGTGTGTGTGTGTGTGTGTGTGTGTGTGTGTGTGTGTGTGTGTGTGTGTGTGTGTGTGTGTGTGTGTGTGTGTGTGTGTGTGTGTGTGTGTGTGTGTGTGTGTGTGTGTGTGTGTGTGTGTGTGTGTGTGTGTGTGTGTGTGTGTGGTGTGTGTGTGTGTGTGTGTGTGTGTGTGTGTGTGTGTGTGTGTGTGTGTGTGTGTGTGTGTGGTGTGTGTGTGTGTGTGTGTGTGTGTGTGTGTGTGTGTGTGTGTGTGTGTGTGTGTGTGTGTGTGTGTGTGTGTGTGTGTGTGTGTGTGTGGTGTGTGTGTGTGTGTGTGTGTGTGTGTGTGGTGTGTGTGTGTGTGTGTGTGTGTGTGTGTGTGTGGTGTGTGTGTGTGTGTGTGTGTGTGTGTGTGTGTGTGTGGTGTGTGTGTGTGTGTGTGTGTGTGTGTGTGTGTGTGTGTGTGTGTGTGTGTGTGTGTGTGTGTGTGTGTGTGTGTGTGTGTGTGTGTGTGTGTGTGTGTGTGTGTGTGTGTGTGTGTGGTGTGTGTGTGTGTGTGTGTGTGTGTGTGTGTGTGTGTGTGTGTGTGTGTGTGTGTGTGTGTGTGTGTGTGTGTGTGTGTGTGTGTGTGTGTGTGTGTGTGTGTGTGTGTGTGTGTGTGTGTGTGTGTGTGTGTGTGTGTGTGTGTGTGTGTGTGTGTGTGTGTGTGTGTGTGTGTGTGTGTGTGTGTGTGTGTGTGTGTGTGCGTTGAGCACAGGCGGAAGCAACAGCTCAAATGCCAAATGAGTTGCACACACACACAGAAACACACATGCACACACACACACCATTAGCCTCGTGAAGAGCAAATTTGTTGCATACTTTGCGCGGCCGCCACAGCAACATTTTTCCCTCAGTATGTTTAAGAATTTCCCCACAGCAACAACAACAACAACAACCGATGTAGAAAATATCGTCATATTCATGCCAAAACATTTCGCATCAAATTTCAGCCCAATGTGCCGCGGCCCATTGAACATTTTCTCATTTGGCTTCCACTTCTATTCTATCGCTTTTTTTTTGCTTTTTATTTCTATTATTTTTGTGGCTTTTGCATATATGGGCGGAAAAGTACACACGAAAACAAACAACAACATTTTTATCGGCATGCCGAGATAAGGCGCCGGCGAAAAGCAGACAACACTCTACAATAACAACAACAGCAACAACAACAACATGGAGAGCAACAACAATATCGAAACAATATTTTGCTC